CATCGTGGGCTTAGATCTCCTTAAATTAAGCAAGATATCCACGCGTCAACCCAAAGTCTACTAAAAAAAACTTTCAAGTGAACTGTCAGTTTGTTTACTAAAATATTTATTCAAAGATTCTCTTAGACTTTGACCAATCTCTTCCTCTTTTTACTTTCTTTGTTTGTTGACTAAGACGTAACAGTACATGACTAAGACGTGAGACACCGCGGTCAATGGTCATCCAGCAATGGGATTTCGTTGAAGCTGGAATCTTGAATGCCATCAGTTTCTCATGTCCACAAAATCATTAAATCATTATATTTGTATTGCAGAAATTTCTCAGAATGTTGATTATCTGTATGTAATGTTTGGTTGTTGGTAGGTGAAGCTTGACTAGTTTAGCGATACGCATGAAAGGCAATACCTTGATGAATGAAGTTGACAAATCAACTCTACCCTGTAGTAAATGAAATTTACAATCCATTAATACGTTCAGAAAATAAAAATTCCATCAACAGCAAGTGCATACTGAAGAGTAGGACACCTTACACTTTAATTTAAAGGAGGAAGGACCAAAAACTGTTGAAAACAAGTTCACAAATCATGAAAGAAATATATTACAAGAAGGATTCGTCCTACCAAAAACGAAGCAACCATTATTACTGCCCCTGCAGAGTTGAAATGTTGGCCATGAAGCCTTTCCTCGGGCATACTATACATATACTCAGGCTAATTGTCAGCATTTTGAATTAAGCTTATTGAGTCTTCAGAGTCGTCATTAGATTGTGTTGACGATGGCCATGTTGTTTCTGGATTGTCTTCATCATCCACCACTGGTTTGTCTTGTGGATAAAGGAAAGGCTTTGGAGGCATTTGAAGGGCTTCAGTTTCTCCTTCAAGCATCTGTACTACTTTGCTCATCGAAGTAGGACGCTCGCTAGGCTTCATTTGTATACACCATAATGCCACTATAAGCATCTTCTTTGTTATTTTCATTTCCTCCTCAGTGGCATCTTCTATCTCTATGTCCTTTCCTTCATTGAATTGGTCATAAACCCATGAAGGAAAGTATATTTGGCTTGAATGAGCTGCAATTGCATTCAGATTCTTTCTTTTTCCTGCTATTTCCATCAACAGCATTCCGAAACTGTAGATGTCAGCTTTGTTTGACACTCCTATATTTTTGTAAAACAACTCTGGAGTTATGTATCCGATGGTTCCTCTCGCTGCAGTCAAAGTTAAACTGCTCTCATCTAATGGACATAATCTTGCGAGCCCAAAGTCAGAAACCTTTGGAACAAAAGTCTCATTAAGAAGAATGTTGTGAGGCTTGATATCAAAATGAAAAATTTGCATCTCACATCCTCGATGAAGATAGTCAATACCACGAGCAACTCCAAGTGAAATTTCAAATGATTTCTTGTAATTTAAGGTTGATGGTCCTTCTTTGGAAAATATGTGTTTATCTAGAGACCCATTTGACATGAACTCGTATACAAGAGCACGCTTTGATCCCTCAACACAATAGCCAATTAGTTGCACCACATTTACATGATGAATCCTTCCAATGGTGGCAACTTCATTGATAAACTCTTGCCCATTAGCTTTGGACTTACCCAGTATCTTAATTGCTACAAGGCGGCGGCTTCGGAGCTTCCCTTTGTATACAGAACCATAACCTTCTTCACCCAATTTTTCCTTAAATCCTTTAGTCATTTTCCTGATATCTGAGTAGGAGTACCTTATTGGCATGAGGTTGTTGTGACTTTGTAAGAATTCTTCAATATTTCCATACATTGATAAGTGCCGCCTCTTGAATTTATAAATTAAAAGCGCAATCAGACACGGAGCCCCAAGTATAGCCCTAGCTCCAAGTGGTAGTCCTGTAAGGAAGTGTCGAAATGAATCATGGAAATAAGTGTTGCTGCTACAACCAGAATGTATATGTAATTGAATACTAGAGACCAATTGTTTAACACTGCATGAATTTTCTTTCCTGGAAAGAGTAATTTTTATTTGCTGAGGATAATAATTGAGATGAAAAAATAAATTGAGATGAAACTCACCAAGCAACGCAAGGATGACACTGAATTCTGCAAGAAACAGAGCGAATTAATTATTAATAATAACAAATGCAGCTTAGACTGGAAGAAATTGAAAACAATATAGGATTGAGAGTCCTCACCGACTAGAAATTCGATGAAGCCTGCATCATCAAAGTCAAAAGTTTTCATCAAGTTTGAACTTTAGAATCTTGACATGTTAAAAAACAGAACATGTGCCTACAGTTATGTTACCAGAAGAAAACAAATGAAGAAATCTTTGACATACTTACCACAGTATATACCATGGCATTCATGAGAGCAATTAACTTTGTTGGTATCACTGTCGATGTAGCAAGTACTCCACTGCACCCATGTAAGTTCAAAGCCATAGATCATCTCATTGTGGATGTCTATGTAGGAATTGTTTTTTGTAAGCTGCGACGATGTCATTAACATAAGCTCTATGCGACAAAACTCAATCAAGTCTGACGCATTTAATCGTCCAACACTAACATATGAATGCCCATTGGAATTGGAACTACTCACAGCACCAATACAAGGAGCAGTATCCACATAGAGAGGCGAATTCACCGGGGTTTCACAGGTCAGAAATATTATAGGCTTTGACAGTTCTAAATAATCTGTGTCCCACCAATGCCCCTTACCTCTACCTTGAGAAATCCCATACGGATGCTCATCCTCGTAACTGAAGTTAGACGCTGACAATGAATAATAGGGAACTGAAGAGCAGTTACCCTTGTGAAGATTGGCATCCACAACTCGGATGGTGTAGTTATTATAATTGATTGCCTGCACATAGTATTTTCCAGAATACAAGTATAATACTGTAAGGTTGTTCTTCTCACAAGACAGCTCATACCTTGAGTCACCGCACTTCCCTGGATCGTGTTTTAGTCGGAAAGGGTGGCTTATGTTATGTTTGCCGCACCATGAAGGTTCACACTGTTGACGATAATCATCCTTAGCATTGCAACTCAAACAGCATAAGCTAAGAACTAAGAGGAGGGCTATGAATAATTGTGATGGAGAAGCTACTCTTCCTGCAGCCATGGGAGAGAGAGCTTCCAAACGTTGAGTATTGCTTGTGATATGTGTGGACTTTATATAATAGTAATACTGTGAAAGCCTGCAACAGGAGCATTGCGTGCCAGTTGGCAGAATTGATTTTCTAACTTGTAGAATACTGCAGAAGTAGTGGTTCAATTTCATTTGGATATCCTTTCAGATTCGTGGACAGAATTAAAGGCCATTGACCCATTTGCATGCAAAAGATAAAACTTATACGTTTCTCAAAAAATAAAACCTAATCTCCCGATTTTCTACCATCAATTACAACTATCAAAAACTTTCACTCAAAGAAAATCTGAAAAATTCGAAACTTATATCTAAAATCTCCATTTTTCATACATATCTTTTCAGTCAAGGTTGGCCCATTGATTTTGGAGGTCTTGGGCAAAAATGAAAAATGTGGCTTTTTTTGTTTAACACTTACCTCATATTGAACAAAAATTATAATAAAAATATTCAAACTTAGGTGGTAAATAGGTTAATTTAAGTATTTTTTTATTTTTTTATTTTAAAAAGGCCCATTGTATGAAAGATAAAGAAAAGAATTCAAAAAAGATTCAAAATAAAGCCCAAAAAACATTAGTTTCACACATAAAAAGGCTTTTTTTGGTTAATATACTTATTGGACTGGAAGTGTGTAAGAGGCCCCATTTTTTTGGGGGCCTTGTGCCATCCCCTAACCTGTACCGGAAAGGCTATAATGAGGGCTTAAAGTGAGGAGGTTATTTGAGGAGGTCAAATCTCACCATCAACAAATGTAAAGAAATCATGGGACTTAAATATTTTAAATGTTTTGATGGTCGAATCGGTCTCCTCAAATAACCTCCTCACTTTAACTGCTCATTGCCCAACCTGCACACCCTGTGGGCCAAACCTGATTTCAGTCATCAAAATCTGTACAATTCAGTAAAAAATTTGACAAAATAAAAGAAAAATAAAAATAGATGACCAACGAAGAAGAACAATTAGGCAGTACAGACCAGTGTTTTCAAAGGCATGCCTTCGCGCGCGTCGGCGCGAGGCGGGAGGAAAACGCCCGCGGCATCCGGCTGTTTCGCGATCTGCACGTTTAGCGCAGGGAAGGCATGAGGAGGCGTTGCAAGGCGTGTCCAGGCGGAGCGAGGCGTGAGGAGGCGTTGCAGATCTGGAATCTTCTGAAACGGAAGAAATTGAAAGTCTGCAAATTTTCTTTGGGGAAGATGAACTCGGGAGGAAGACTCGTTTTTTTTTTTTTTTTTTTTTTTTTTTTTTGGTTTAACGAAATGACGTCGTTTTGGTTGCAAAGTTTTAAAAACAATCTTATAGTGAAACGACGTCGTTTCACTTGGAGTGTGTTTTAAAAAAAAAACTGCAAGTTTCAGCTTTTGTTTTCCTTACCTTAATTGTAATAGGGAAGAATTAATATATTTAATATCTGTCTTTTTCTTTCCTAACCCCAATCGGCTTGTAGCTTTGTACTTATTTTTTTTTTTTTTTTTTTTTTTTAATATCTTTAATATCTTTCTTTTTCTTTCCTAACTCCAACCGGCTTGTAGCTTTATACCTTTTTTTTTTTTTTTTCTAAATTAATATATTAACACATGGACTATATATATATATATATATATTGTATAGTACGTGTACAACCCTAATTTCTATCCTTACCAGATAACTCCATCAATTTCAAGAATTCTCTTTATCTTTCGATTGCAAGTAAGTCTTCTTTTTTTTCTTTTTCTTTTTTACGTGCATGCATCATACTTGTATAATTTGATTATAATAAACTATAATTTGAAGTTTCGTATAATTTTTTTTCAATATGTTTTAAATATACTAGTTATTTTTTTCTTACGTACATGCATCACACTTGTATCTTAGAAATATTAATTGTATTGTTTTATAGATATGAATCGAAAAGATCCTGCGTGGAAGTATGCAAAAGAAATAGAGGGGGAAAAATACTTGAGATGCGCATTTTGTGATCAAAGATGCAGTGGAGGAATTTCTAGACTTAAGCATCATTTAGGTCAAACTCACCACGGTATGCAACCATGTAAGAAAGTTCCTAAGCATGTGAAAAAAGAGTGTGCCGCAACTTTGAAAAATCTTCAGCTTGAAAAAAGAAAGAAAAATGAAATGCTTAGAGAGATTGGGGATGGTCTAGAAGGAGGGGCTCTGAGTATGGAAACTTCATTGGATGAAGAATATGGAATCCTTGGTACTAGGAGTGCTGCAGTTGATGAGACTCTTAGAGCACAACCTAAATCAAAAGGACCAATGGATAGATTTGTCACTTTAGAAGCTCGGCAAAGTACATTAAATTCAGCATACAAACAAGAAGAAAGAAAGGAAGTTTGTCGAAAGATTGGTCATTTTTTCTTCTCTAGAGCACTCCCATTTAATATTGTAAATGATCCATTTTGGCTACCTATGGTGGAAGGGATTGCCGCATATGGTGTAGGATTTAAGGCTCCATCAATGCATGAGCTGAGGACTTGGATCCTTAAGGAAGAAGTTGGCGACATTAATACGATGATGGAAGAACATAAGAAAGCTTGGGCAGAGTATGGATGTACTATTATGTCTGATGGTTGGACTGATGGTAAAAATAGAGTACTAATAAACTTTCTTGTGAATAGTCCAGCAGGTACTTGGTTTTTGAAATCTATTGATGCATCTGATTCCATAAAAAATGGAATGTTATTGTTCAAATATTTAGATGATGTTGTCAAAGAAGTTGGAGAGGAGCATGTCATTCAAGTAATAACAGATAATGCTTCCAATTATAAGAATGCTGGAGTGAAACTTATGGAGAAGAGGAAGAAGTTATGGTGGACTCCATGTGCTGCCCACTGCATTGATTTGATGTTAGAAGATATTAGCAAAATGAAAGTTTTTGAAGATACAATTAGACTAGCCAAGCAAGTAGTGAAGTTTATTTATGGGCATACATGGGTTCTTGCTTTGATGAGATCTTTCACGAAAAACAAAGAGATAATTCGCCCTGCAATCACACGGTTTGCCACTTCTTATCTTACTCTTCAAAGCATCTATAAGCAAAAGCAACTTCTTCAGGCAATGTTTTCTTCTAGAGAATGGCACAATGGACCATTTGTCCAACATAATGAAGGTATTAGGGCTCACTCAACTATACTATATGATGTTAATTTTTGGTCCCGTGTTGCTTTCTGCATCAAAAGTGTTATCCCATTAGTATCGGTTTTAAGAGAAGTTGATTCAGAGGAGAGACCTGCTATGGGATTTATTTATGAGTTAATGGATGTTGCAAAAGAGAAGATTGCTTTTAATTGTGGAAAAGTTGAAAGAAAGTATAAACCAATTTGGAGAAAAATAGATGAAAGATGGGGCCCACAACTCCATCAACCTTTACATGCTGCTGGTTATTATTTGAACCCTCAATTGCGTTATGAAGAAACCTTTTCTAATGCTGATGAAGTAAGGAAGGGATTGGAAGATTGCATGACTAGGATGTTGTCTTTTGAGGATCGTATGACTACTGATATCCAATTGGACTTGTATGATGAGGCAAAAGGAGAGTTTGGAAGTTGTCTTGCAGTGAATTCAAGGAAACTAAGAACTCCAGGTTATAATCTTTACTTTTTCATTTTCATTCGAGTATAATGAACACTTGAAATAAATGTTAAACTTAATTAGATGGATTTGTTTTGTTTTTTTTAGCAAATTGGTGGAAGCGTTTTGGAAGGGACACACCTGAGTTGACAAAGTTTGCTATTCGGGTCCTTAGCCTTACTTGTAGTGCATCTGGGTGTGAGAGGAATTGGAGCACATTTGAGCAGGTAAAGTTCTTTTGTTAATTTATTGTTCAAATTTTGATGCTTCTAAATCTAATTTTGTATGTTTATTTTTATTTTAGATTCATACAAAAAAAAGAAATAGATTTGAACATCAAAAGCTCAATGCTCTAGTATATGTGAAGTATAATACGACACTAAGAGAGAGAAGTATTAGAAGGAGGTCAAAGATTGATCCAATATTGGTGAATGAAATTGAGTCCGATGATGAATGGATAGCTGAGGTTGAAGAACCAATTCTACCAACTGATCTTATTTGGCTTAATTCTCAAGAATTATATGATGTTGATGTCATCAGAAATATGCCCACTGAACCTTATGAAACTGATCTACATACTCGAGTGCCTATTTCTGTGGAGCCTATTGGTGATCCTAGGACTCAAGAGCAAGGAAATATTCATGTTAGGACTCAAGAGCCTATTGTTCATTCTAGAACTCAAGATCCTATTATTGATGATGATCTTATTCTTGACGATGATGTTCTTCTTTCCTCGTTAGCTTCAAAAAAGAGAAAAGAATGTGAAACCTCAAGTAAGTATGGAAAGTAAATCATGGAGTGAAAGTTACAATTAGTGTTTAATTCATTACCACTAAATTTTATAATTTTAATTCATTGTTCATATGTACAGGTAAGAGGAAAGTCAAAAGCAAGTCCATAAGAGCTATGCTTATGGATGAAGATGATGAGATAGATAAAGATCCTTCAACATTTGATAGTGGAAAATATCCTTTTCATATTGATACAGTTGATCAATATGACAGTGATGCTAGTTTGAATGATATTAGTGTTGAGGAGTGGGATGAGTGAATTATGTTTTTGTTTTGATGTTGAATAAATATTTTATGTTTTGGGATTGATTATTATGTTTTGAATGACAATTAGTACTTATATTTGATTATATTTAAAAGATTGTTATAGTTGAATAAGAATTAGTTGTACAATTTAATCGTATTGTATTATTCATAAATTTTTCTTATTAAAATAACTTAATGTTCAAAAGGCTTACGCCTCAATGCCTCAAGGCTTACGCCTCGCATAGCGCTACTAAAAACGTCTCGCCTATACGCCTCGCCTATGAAAACATTGGTACAGACTACACTACTTTTCATTATCTAACACTACTTTCTCATCAGTTCATTCCCCGACGCCAAGTTTATTTGATATTAATCACAAGTTACAAAAACAATTGCACTTCTGACTAATCATTCTAACTTCGTCAATCTAATTTGGATATTACAGGTAACTCTTGGCGAGGGCGTTTTGCAGGCATTGTAACACTGTCTCTTGCTGAAGCAGTCGATGAGAAAGGATTAGGAGGCATTCTTACATTGTCTTCTCCTTCCAACATTTGAACTACAGCTTTCATGGAAGGACGATCTACCGGGTACCACTGGATGCACCATAGCCCCACAATTGCGAGTTTCTTCGCGATTTTAGCATCAGGCTCTTGCTCAACGTGGATGCGGATGTCTTCTCCTTGATCTAGAAGATTATAGATCCATTCGGGGAAATAAACTTGGCTGCTGTTCGCGTCTGTGACCTGAACATTTTTCCTGCCTCCAACCATTTCAAGTAACAACATTCCAAAACTGTACACATCTGACTTGTAGGACACGTTACCGAAGTTCCTAGAGAAGACTTCAGGTGCGATGTAACCCATGGTGCCCCTAGCAGTTGTCAAGGAAACTGCACTTTGATCGTTGGCGCACAACTTGGAAAGACCAAAATCAGAGATTTTTGGATTGAAGTTTTCATCCAAAAGAACATTGTGAGGTTTGATATCAAAATGAAGGATTCGTTGGTCACATCCGTTGTGAAGGTACTCAATTCCTTTGGCTACGCTGAGAGCAATATATTGTTGAGAGTTAAGCTGCATACTAGTTTTGAATCAAGCTGCAGATGTTAATCCTGCAGATTGATAGTGAAGAGGATGATGAAATCGAAGGAACTGAAGAACTTTCCTTTTATAGTAATAGCTGTTATAGGATATGTCCAACAGCTAGTTTTCTTACTATTTTAGGAAATTTTACAGCTGTCATTCTTAGCTGTCTTAGTATTTTCTGCTGTAACAATTTCTAGCCTAGGTGTAAGAATCATAGCCTCCAATGACCTTGAATGGCTGGAGATGAGTCCTTGTGTCCTAGTTTTTAGGATCTGTTTTTTTGGCAGCTTGTGTCATGCATATAGTGTGATTTTGGCTCTAATGCAATATACAGAAAATAGACTGAATCATTCTCATTCCCTCTGAGTTTTTCTCTCCTTTGCATACGTTGCTTACAAAAGGTTTTATTGTTCTGTAAATCAGTCTCTAAAACCAGCAAGCTAAATACCAAATTCTAACATGGTATCAGAGCTCCTGGTCTGATTTCAGAGAAGTGGCGTGAGCTGTGAGAAAGGGGGTTTTCCTGAAATCTCTATAAGGGATAAAGGTTGCTCTTTTATTGTGTGGTTCACTGAGACTCACATCAAAATGGTGGGATCAGGTTCTGCAGGTGGAGATTTACGAACTCCACAGTTCAATGGTTCAAACTATGATTTTTGGTCAGTAAAAATGGAGACTATCCTCATAGCATATGATTTATGGGATGCAGTGGAGATTGGAATACAACCACAGCCGATTATTGAGCAGGAAGCAGGCTCTGAAGGCACTGGAGATGAAGAGAGTGAGGCTGAGGAAATTCCAGTGGAAGCACCTACTATCTCCAGAGAAGATAAGATCAAAAATGCCAAGGCTTTGAGTCTTATTCAAGGAGCACTGACAGATGAACTCTTTCCTCGCATCAGAAATGAGAAGACTGCAAAAGGTGCTTGGGGAATTCTAAGAAGAGAGTTCAGAGGAGATAAAAAGGTAAGAGCTGTGAAATTACAAGCTATTAGAGCTGACTTTGAATATTTGAGAATGAATGATGTTGAATCTCTGGATGACTACTTGGCTCGTTTTTTTGAAATTGTAAACAACCTGAAATCTCTAGGAGAAGATGTAACAGAGAAAAGGATTGTCCAAAAATTGTTGATGAGTCTAAGTAGGAGGTACAAGTCCATAGTGTCAATCATTGAAGAAACCAGAGATCTTGACACTATTAGAGTTGAAGAAATTCTTGCATCTGTCAAGGTTTATGATAAGAGAGAGGATTTGCATGATGAAAGGGACAAATTGGCAGGAACTGAGAAAGCTTTTAGCAGTCTCAAAGTTGGAAATGATCAAGCTTCTGGAGCTAACAAAAGTTCTCAGGGAAAACAAAATCAAAATGGCAAGGACAAAACAAAAAGGGCTCAAATTGGTCTCAAGGTGGAAATTTTAACAACAATAATGGCTCCGGAGGGAATTGGAACAGCAGCTTCAATTCACAAAACAAGCAAGGGAGTAGTAGTCAAGGTGGTGTGAAACCACAGTTCCAAGTGTGTCAGAAATACCATTTTGGTATATGCAGATATAAGGGAAAACCCAAGTGTGGAAAGTGCAGTCGATTTGGTCATTTAACTAAGGACTGTGAAAGTGGTAAACAAGTTGCAAACTGTGCAAAAGAGGAAGAAGTAACCACAGGAACAATGTTCTATGCTTGTCATGCAAGCTCAATTGCATCAAGCAAGTCTGTGTGGTTTGTCGACAGTGCTTGCAGCAATCACATGACCTCTCAAGAGTCCTTGTTGATCAATCTTGATAGGTCAGTGACCTGCAAAGTGAAAATGGGCACTGGTGACCTTGTTCAAGCCACAGGAAAAGGGACACTAGTAGTTGAGACAAGAAAAGGGAGAAGATATATAAATGAGGTGCTGTTAGTCCCTGGTCTAGATGAGAATTTGTTGAGTGTAGGACAAATGATGGAGCATGGGTACTACATTCTATTTGGAGGAAACTATGCATTAATATGTGATGATAGCAGCCTTGATAATGTTGTTGCCAAAGTAGCAATGGCTGGAAATAGATGCTTTCCATTGTCTATGGAATCTATCTGCTCAATGGGAATGAAAGCAGCAGTACAAGTAGATCCATGGGTTTGGCATAGGAGATTGGGGCATTTGAACTTTGCAAGCATGAAAAAAATGCAGCAAACACAAATGGTGCTAGGCTTACCTGATTTCTCAGAAAAAGAAGGAGTATGTGAAGGCTGTGTGTATGGTAAAAGCCACAGAGAACCATTTGAAAATGAGAAGTCTTGGAGAGCTAAGCATCCACTTGAGTTGATACACACGGATGTATGTGGTCCAATGCAAATGAGTCCATTGGAGGAAATAGATACTTCATCACATTCATTGATGACTATTCAAGAATGTGTTGGGTATATTTTCTCAGAAACAAGTCAAGTGTGATAAGTGTGTTCAAAAAGTTCAAAGCATTTGTTGAGCTACAAAGTGGATTCAACTTAAAGAAACTAAGAAGTGACAGAGGTGGAGAGTACACTTCACATGAATTCCTTGAGTTTTGCAGTGATCTTGGCATGGAGAGGCAACTGACTATTGCCTACTCACCTCAGCAAAATGGGGTTGCTGAGAGAAGAAACAGAACCATCTGTGAAATGGCAAGATCAATGATGACTGAGAAGAAAATCCCTGTAAAGTTCTGGGCTGAAGCAGTTGGTACTGCTGTGTATCTGCAAAACAGGTGCTATACTACTTCAGTTTCAGACAAAACTCCATTTGAAGCTTTCACAGGAAGGAAACCAGGTGCAAAACACCTGAGAGTGTTTGGAAGTATATGTTACAGTCACATTCCATCAAACCTTAGACAGAAGTTTGATGACAAAGCAAGCAAAGGAATTTTTATGGGTTATGGCAGCTGTGAGAAGGGTTACAGGGTCTATAATCTTCAAACTGAGAAGATTATACTCTCTAGAAGTGTTGTTTTTGATGAGAACAAATCCTGGAATTGGGAAAGCAAGCAAGATGAAACTGTTTCTGTGCCTTTCATCTTTGAAAATGGAAATTCTGAGATAGCTGAAACAGAAGAAGCCTCTCATGAAATTCATAGCATTGATTCACCAAATCTGAATCAATTAATCTCAGATGATGAACATGTCTCTGGAAGAAATGGCAGTAGCACCAATCAAGGGTCAACTCCAAGCAATACACCAGTAAAGCTGAGAAGTTTGGAGGACATTTATGCAAGATGTCACATGACCATTATTGAACCTGAAACTTATTATGAAGTTGTAGAAGACAAAGCTTGGAAGGAAGCAATGGATGCTGAGATTGAAACCATTGAAAAGAATGGAACTTGGGAGCTAGTGGAAAGGCCTACAGATAAACCAGTCATAGGAGTCAAATGGGTGTTCAAAACCAAGTTGAATCTGGATGGAACAGTTCAAAAACACAAGGCTAGGCTTGTAGCTAAAGGGTATGCTCAAAAACCTGGTATTGATTATAATGAAACCTTTGCCCCAGTGGCAAGGTTAGATACAATTAGAACTTTGATTGCACTTGCAGCACAAAAGGGTTGGAAGTTGTTTCAATTAGATGTTAAGTCAGCCTTCTTGAATGGAGTACTTGAGGAGGAGGTTTATACTGAGCAACCAGAGGGGTTTGAAGTGAAAACAGCAAGTCACAAGGTCTATAAATTAAAGAAGGCCCTCTATGGTTTGAAGCAGGCTCCCAAAGCCTGGTACAGTGAAATAGACACCTATCTAACTAGCTGCAATTTTAAAAGAAGCACCAGTGAGGCCACCTTATATACCAGAACTGATGAAGAAGGAAAACTGATCATTGTCTCTATATATGTTGATGATATAGTTTATACTGGAAACAGTAATGCTTTGCTCAGTGAGTTTAAAAAGGACATGATGCAAAAGTATGAAATGACTGATTTAGGACTCCTACATCATTTCTTGGGAATGGGAGTTCTACAAACTGAAAATGGAGTGTTTATTCATCAAAGCAAGTATGCAAAGTCCTTGCTTGTGAAATTTGGTCTCGAGGATTGTAAGTCAGTAACAATTCCTCTACCCACTGGTGAAAGATTAAAGAAAGTTGATGGAAGTGATTTGGCTGATGAAGGTTTGTTTAGAAAAATTGTTGGCAGCCTGTTGTATCTGACTGCAACCAGGCCTGATATAATGTTTGCAGCCAGTTTGTTATCAAGATTCATGCACAGCCCCACAAAGAAGCACATGGGAATTGCAAAAAGGGTTCTTAGATACATTCAAGGCACTCTCAGCTATGGCATTGAATTTACAAGGGATAATAATGCTGTTCTGGTTGGCTTTTGTGACTCTGATTGGGTTGGCAGTGAAGATGACAGTAGAAGCACATCTGGATATGCATTCAGTTTTGGTAGTGGAGTTTTTTCATGGGCTTCAGTCAAGCAAAACACAGTTGCATTGTCAACTGCAGAAGCTGAATATGTTTTAGCAGCTGAGGCAACAGCTCAAGCTATCTGGCTAAGGTTTGTGTTGGATGATTTTGGTGAAATGCAATCTGATGCAACACCATTGTTTTGTGACAACATGTCAGCAATATCAATGGTCAAAAACCCTGTTTTCCATCAGAAAACAAGGCACATAAACCGAAGGTATCATTTCATAAGGGAAGCTTTACAAGAAGGGGTGATTGATATAAAATTCTGCAGAAGTGAAGAACAGTTGGCAGATATTTTTACAAAAGCTCTGCCCAAAGATCGATTCAATTATTTGAGGTTGAAGCTTGGAGTTAAACCAGTAAGCAGCTTAGGAGAGGCTGTTGAGAGTTAAGCTGCATACTAGTTTTGAATCAAGCTGCAGATGTTAATCCTGCAGATTGATAGTGAAGAGGATGATGAAATCGAAGGAACTGAAGAACTTTCCTTTTATAGTAATAGCTGTTATAGGATATGTCCAACAACTAGTTTTCTTACTATTTTAGGAATTTTACAGCTGTCATTCTTAGCTGTCTTAGTATTTTCTGCTGTAACAATTTCTAGCCTAGGTGTAAGAATCATAGCCTCCAATGACCTTGAATGGCTGGAGATGAGTCCTTGTGTCCTAGTTTTTAGGATCTGTTTTTTTGGCAGCTTGTGTCATGCATATAGTGTGATTTTGGCTCTGATGCAATATACAGAAAATAGACTGAATCATTCTCATTCTCTCTGAGTTTTTCTCTCCTTTGCATACGTTGCTTACAAAAGGTTTTATTGTTCTGTAAATCAGTCTCTAAAACCAGCAAGCTAAATACCAATTCTAACATATATTGCAGCTTCTCCCAACCAAGGAAATGGTTGTTGCTGTCTGCTGATGTTATAAAATTCTGCAGTGAACCGTTTGGTGCAAATTCATAAACCAAAGCTCGTCTAAATCCATCAGCACAATAGCCAACCAATCGAACCACGTTGACGTAGTGGATTCGACCCAATGTTCCCACTTCATTGATAAAGTCTTCCCCATTTCCTTTGGAATTGTTGAGGATCTTTACAGCAACAAAGATCTCATTGGAAAGCTTTCCTTTGTACACTGTTCCAAAGGTCCCCTGTCCCAGCTTGTCTCTAAACGTATTGGTGATCCTCTTTATATCAGCATAAGAGTACCTTGTGGGCTTGAGAGCTCTGTAATTTTCCAAAAATTCTTCAATCATGGTTTGTTTTCTGTCAAAAGTGTACAACCGATGGAGAGAAACAAGTGCCACCACAAATAAAAATGAACCCAGGATCACACCTACAGATTGTATATTCCGTCAAGAACCTCTATCTTTATAGAGAAAAAGAGATTTTGGAAAAAAAAAGAAAAAAAAAAAAAAAGAAAACAGAGGACAAAGGGCATGCATGGCTCACCTATAACCACTAGCTTTGTTGAGGCACCTGTAAAAGATTTAATGCCATTAGATTCTCATGTCCCCAAAATCGTTCAATCATTATTGTATTTTATTTTGCAGAAAAATCATATTCTTGGTTATCTTTATGTTATATGATGCATTACAGTCTATATGCCAGAAATTTCCTTCTTCTTTCTTTATTTTTTTGCATTTCCTATCTAATTCATGGTAGCTAATGCAACATAAGATATTTAATTGCATAAATTCTTGATGGGGAGCAAAGGGGTGATGCCTGACTAGTATAGTGATATGGATGAAAGACTATACCTTGTTTGCCCACTTTGAAGCACTCCGTTTCTGATTCAGTGTCATTGTTGTTCTTCAATTTACATTTTCCACCTTTCCTCTCACAATGTTTACATTCTGGTTTGAACCATTCCAAACGAAGAACATGTTCTGCCTCGAATATATCACGTGGAACAGGTGGAAGGTTATACAGTTTGGTACAAGACGAAATGGGAAATGTGTCAATGGAAGAATCTGAATATATAGCCAACATTTGGTGGCTAGTCCCACTAAGGCAGGGAATTTGATAATATAAATTTCTATCTGCTGGTGAACAATTGAATAAAGTATAATCTTGGTACCCACCCCCTTTGAATTGGAAGGCAGAGGCAGACAGATTAAGTTTATGAAGCTGCCTGGGAACACAACCATCTGGATCAACCACTTGAATTACCTGAGATTTGTAGTTGATATGAGTGACGGTGAACTTCACTGAAATTGGCAGCTCAAGCACCGTATTGTTGCCTCCATTGCAGGACAAATCAAATCCGGGGTAGCCACAGTGATCAGGAGCGTCTTTGAGTCGAAAAGGGAATTTGATAGGTGGACCGGAGTCTCCACAGCGTAATTCTTCTGAGCACTCATTTTGGCACGCTCCAATATTAACTTTGAAGCCTACCATGTAACACCCCGACCCCAAATTTATCCCATGTTTTAATTTAATTAAGTGGAATTGAGAAATTACCCGTGGGATAGGGGTATTTTAGTCATTTTCTTATTCGGAAGGACTTTGGGAATTCCGGTTGTACCGTTGCGTAGAGCACGGTGAGATGAGTCCGTAGACACGTAGTGGGCTCGAATCGGAGTTGTAACGAGAGAGATATAATCAAAAGAAGCTCAGTGGCATAATCGTAAATATTTGGAAAATGGATTTTTGGTTAAAAGACGGAATTGCCCCCGTCTCTTTCTCTCTCTCTCCCGCGCGTCTCTCCCTCTCTCCTCGGTTTCGCGATGGCTGGAACAGCCGGCCACGTTTTGGCCGGCCGTGCTCTCGTCCGGCCACCAAACTTGACGGGGCCGGTACCAAAATGACCGGGCCGCCGTCCTCCTCCTACCCCAGCCGGGTCTCGCCGCCAGCCGCCGGGATTTCGCCGGAAAATAGAAGAAAACAACCCGGTTTCGCTCGAAACTTCGCCGGCTTCGTTCTCCGTCGTCCGGCCACCGATTCCAGCAAGTGAGGTATGGTTTCTCACCTATTTTCCGAGCTCTAGCTGATGTTGGGTAGGATTTCATAAATTTTGAGGCTCAGTAGCTCGATCTACGAATTGAAATTCGGCCGGTTTTGCGATCGCGATTCCGGCCACTTCCGGTCAGTTTTTGGGGTATGCCCAAGAACAAAAGTGGCTCCAAATTAGGTGTATTACCTAGGGTAGGAGTCTTGGCTCTTGATTTGGAAGTTTTCCGGCGATGGGTATCGCTTTGGACACCCACGCGCTGCCGGCGCGTGTGGCGGCGCGTGGGCACTGTAGCTGAGGGGCATTTTTGTCCCACTGCGATCCTCTCGATGTCACGAGCGCGTAGGTGTGCTCTGATCTCATTTTGGATGCCGTTAGAGTTCCGAACGGATATCGCATATCACGTATTTTCCGGGTTCGCTAGGTTTGGACCGTTGGATGGTCCTAAAGTTATAATATGTCGATCTAGGTATTACCAGATCGTGTAGGATTTGACGGATCGTAAAATGGAGTCCCGGATACTCCAGAAATGCCAACCCTAGGGTTAGGGTTTTAGCGACCGTCCGATCGTGCGATCGTGAGCGATCCGACCGCCCGATCTGGACCAAACTTGCAGGACGTGTGTCCTAGACCTTGTAGAACCTATAGGAACTGTCGGATAATAATTTGGAGGTCGTGGGCCCCGCGGGCCTGTTTGACCAAGTTTGGGTAGTTTGACCCTGGGTTGACCGTGAGACTTTCTTTGTAGTTCTACCATCCCAGGAGGGTTAGAATGACCTTAGTGACAGGTCTTGAGCGTTGTTGAGTTAAATGGTTTATATGCGAATTTAGAATATTATTATATGATTTAAATTGCGAAATTATCAGATGCTATACCAGGGTTGAGGTTTGTATAGGAGTAAAATTTATATTTTATATATTTAATTGTGTGGATGTATAAAAGTAAATAAAGCGATCGAATGTTAGTTTACAGTGCTATACGCACTACCCCACGTACCCCCTCCCCATATTGTGATCATGTTGAGGCCTTTAAACCTGTGTGGCTGGTGAGAATGTAGTCAGGCCAAAGTGAACAGTATGAGGGCTGGTGAGAATGTAGCCAGGCCCAGTGTGAGGTCGCACGCGTCTTTAGATTAGCCGGCGTGTTGACAGACCCCATACATGGCCGGGTGCGTCCCGACGTATGAGGGGAGATATGATTATGTGAGGGCTGGTGAGAATGTAGCCAGGCCCACTGTGAGGTCACACGCGTCTTTGGATTAGCCGGCGTGTTGACAGACCCCATACGTGGCAGGGTGCGTCCCGACGTATGAGGGGAGATATGATTGTGTGAGGGCTGGTGAGAATGTAGCCAGGTCCAGTGTGAGGTCGCACTCGTCTTTGGATTAGCCGGCGTGTTGACAGACCTCATACGTGTCCGGGTGCGTCCCGACGTATGAGGGGAGATATGTTTGTGTGAGGGCTGGTGAGAATGTAGCTAGGCCCAGTGTGAGGTCGCACGCTTCTTTGGATTAGCCGGCGTGTTGACAGACCCCATACGTGGCCGGGTGGGTCCCGACGTATGAGGGGAGATATTATGATTGTGTTTGGTGAGTTGTGATGATTAGATCCTAGAATATATGAATTTGTATGGTTGTAATGGTTTATTTGGTATTAGGAGCCAGGATAGATACGAAAGTGCTACGTGTGGCTTGATCCCTTAGTAGGGTACGTAAGCAGCCTGAAGTTACTAGGTGCAGCCACAGATTAGACCCCACTTAGGTGGTCTTATTGAGATTGGTTTGGACCTCGTTGTTGGTCCCAAAACTTGGTTGAATTGAGTCTCGTCCTGTGGACTAAGTGAGTGAAGGTGTACATAAATAGATTTCGAATTTATTATATACAAATTTATAAATAAACCCAATCCTAGACATGTATTTATAAAAAACTCAAGCACTATTTAAACATAGAAACACACCCAAAATCAACCCCAAAGTCAACTTTTTGGGTGTGTTTATAAATGAGTTTTGAGTGTGTGTAATGATGGGTTTTGGGTGTTGGGTTTTTTTATAATTTCAACATCCATTTTGGGTGTTTTAGTGAAACTCCCTTTATTATATGCATGTTTGATGCATTAAGTTATTTTAAAAACATTGTGGGCAGTCCTGCTAGAATCATTTGAAGGCCGGAGGCCATTTATGTAAATTGCATGAGATTATATTGTGCGTGCTGCCGGTTGGGTTATAAAATGTGTTTTATGCAGGTGGAAATTTTGGGGAAATGTTCAATTTACAGGGGGGACTCTGCCGAAATTTCGACAGGAAGTCTCGTGCCCTTAATCCTCTCTGGTAAACGAGGACATAGATTTAAGGAGTGAACTCGGCATGGGGGTGATGCCGGGGTCTCCGCAGGGTTCGTCTCGGGTTCTGGGAAATTCGGGGCGGGTCCTGTCATACCATGAACAACAGGATGAAGAAAGAAATTTTCATCTCTGAGGAAATACTCAACTTTTCGCTGCACCTTGAACATCTAATCATACTCCCAATCAGTTTTTTTTATACATCTTTTTGAAAGCCGCAGAATTGGTCTAAACCTTGTCCTCCTAATAATGACTTTTCTTTTTCCACTGGCAACATTATTCCACAAGTTAAGACAAATAAAATCTCATTTCCGTGTTGACAAATCAACTCTACCCTCTGGAAAATGAAGTTAACAATACATTAAAAAAAATTCCATGTTGACAAATAAATTCCTGCCCACAAAATTTCTTTATCTTGAATAATATAGAAAAATCTGAATAATGGAGAATCGGAAACGAGTGAGTGTTTCTATCAGGGTTTGGTATTTCATCCACATGCAATTTTACATACTTTCTGTCACAGTTTTCAAATAATCATGTACCAAACTATTTAAGCATCACCACATTCTCTGCAATAGCTGAACTTCAGCAATAATAAATTTTGAATTTTCGAGAAAAGGAAAAGAAGAAGAAAAGAAAATGAATAGATAGCCAAAAATATGAGAACTTTCTCCCAGCACTACATAATGATTTACTGTGGACAGGAAAAGTGGGGTGGTGTTGTGTTTTTCTTTGATTTCTTCCATTGGCAAAAAAATAAAAAAAAAAAACAAAAAATAAAAAAAAAGCAAAAAAAAAAAAAACAAAAAAAAAAAAAAAAAAAATGGTGTACAGGGGAGTTGGGGCAAAATTTAAGCAACTCTAGTCCTTGGTCTATTTTCACCTGTGCCTGCATTTGTTGCACTCTGTCATGTATATACTTTTGACAGAACAGAAACTCGAGCCATAATTGAAGAAATGTTTGGAAAATAACAGAGCTCTCAAGCCCACAAGGCGCTCTTATTACCAATAAGAACACAAGTTGGGACAAGGTACCTTTTGGGACAGTGTTCAAAGGAAACCTTTCCAATTCGATCCTTGTTGCAAAAAAGATCCTCAACAATTGCAAAGGAACATTGTGACGAACCAATGCACTGATCTGGTTGCGCTGATGGATTTAGGAGAGCTTTAGTTCACCGACCTGGTTGGCTTTTGTAAATGATCATTAGCAGACACCAAGAACAATCTCCTTGGCTGGGAGAAGCTGCAGCATATTACTCTCATCATAGCCAAAGGAATTGAGGCACGGATGTGACCAACGAACCCTTCATTTTTGATATCAAACCTCATAATGTTTTGTTGAAAGACAACTTCTACAAATTAAAATTTAAAAAAATTCTGATTCGAGGATCAAACTGCAGTTTCCATGACAACTGCTAGTCTGCCAGGGTGGGACCATTGTTTACATTCCACCTTATGTGTTTTCCATGAACTTGGGTAACGTATCGTACAAGTTAGATATTCACAGTTTTGGAATGCTGTTACTTGAAATGGTTGGAGGCAGGAAAAACGTTCTCGTCACAGAGGAGAATACCATCCATGTTTGACTTCACAAAATGGATCAAGGAACAGGGGGAAGACAAATGCCTCGTGATCAAGGAAATGGTGATCAAATTGCTAAGAAACTTCTTGTTGTTACGGTTTGGGGCATCTGGTGGTGCCCAGTAGATCGTCTTTCCATGAAAGCTGTCCTTCAAGCCTTGAAAGGAAGGGGAATTTAACCACGCCTTCTAATCCCTTTTACCTCTACGCTTCAACCGGAAATAATGTAACTAGGGTTGCTTTGGTGTCGTAACAAATATCAAATCAAATCAAATAATGTTACTAAATGAAATTGACCCATACTAGTAATGTTCCAATTGTGTCCCTATTTACAATCACAAATAATGAAAAGCCTAATATATTAGGGGTACCACAGTAATTATAAATTAGTTTTTCAAAAAATAGAAATAAAATAAATTCACCAATGTTTTCTCTCACTACTTTTTCATCTTTCTTCTCTTATTTCTCCGGTAATATTTGTGCATGTGTAGGATTGCTAGTAAACAGAATGAAAATGATGACGTTTCAAACAGATTCTTGAGTTTTGGTAAAAAGATGACAGACAGTTACACTCATTCTCAGTCTCACTACTTGTGGAAGTGTTGAGGTTTATTAAATAAAAAACAAGACTAAGAACTGGAATTATAACAAAATAATGGCCATTCTTAAGTCACTTTGTTCACTTGTTACCAAGTTTTCTGCACATCTAGTACTTGTATGTCCTAAACTTCATAGCTTAAAAGTTCGGAGTCCGGACACAGGGAAAGTCAAATGATATCAGAAAGGCCTTAACAATTCCAGCAAATTACATGTCGAGAGAGTGGGGAGATATTGGGACAAAGATTAGGGAATAGAATTATAACACATTGCATTCAAATTGGAAAATAAGTACACAACAATACCGAGTGATTAGGGTTGGTATTAATTAGGACACAAGATAAATACTACAACAGAAGCATGTATACACCCCAATTTGTAGAAGATTGGCATGCTACAGACTCATATATTAACAGTGGTGTAGCTCCATCTGATTCAGACTTTACCTTCATTATTCTTGCACTTAAACTTTAAACTTATCTTCTTTGCCTCCCCCACCTTCAGAAGCATGTTACACTTTCCATTATCTTCGATCACCTGCTCTCACAGTTTAAACACATAGAAATAAGTATGAATTACCATTCGTTTCTAATATAGACCAATCGTATCCAAAGGTTAAAAATATGACAAGTTAGACCACAAGTTTTTAATGGTTTTGTTACTATACTTACCTATTCCAATCCTTCCCTCAGAACAAGAAGAAGATGAACAGTCTCCTTCCTATCCTACCCAACTATGAAAAGAAGAAACATGCATAACAAATTTTTTTCTTTATCATCTTCACGCATTACTAAAAGAACCTATAACAAGTGTGGCTCCAAATTGTGTTAGTGGGAAACACTCAAGAAAGAAAAGAAGTATATTCAATCACTTATGGTTGCATCCCAAGAAGAAAAGGAGCCACTCAAGGAACTGAAGGATACTCCTAGACATTAGCAATATGAGTTCATAACTACCATTACCTTGTTGATTTCTTTATCATCCTTTTACTAAACAAAAAATTATGTTTTCCATTGAGAATATAACTTCAATGATTACTTTTTTTAGAGCAGTTGGATTACCCAGGAAAGATCAAGAGCACCAAACAAGTAGAGATGCCGAGACTCTACCAGACTGAATGATGTTCTTGCAAAGCTTGGCTAAAAGGACTTAATGTACTTCATTTGAGCTTGATTTAACAATTTTTAAGACCAAATTTATTTGCAAAGCTCAATGGCGTGGTAAGAACAATTCTGAAAACACACATGAATCATCTATTTTCTTCCAAGGAGTGGAAGAGAAAAATGAAAGGAAACAGGCCTGTTCTTCTGACAGAGGAGTGAGGAAAAAGGACATGAAATGAAGGCTAAAAAACAACCTAGAATTTCATAAACTGGCATGCATATTTTTAATCTTTGGGTTCTCTTTCATTAGAAAACAAGGAAGCAGGAAAACAAAAGCCAAGGAGAGGATCCAAGTCGTCTACAATGAGTGAATTTTTTGTGTAAATTGCTTACATTGAATTTCCAAAATCTTAAACTCTTACTCAGTTAAGAAATTTACATTAACAAGAAATGCAAATCTACAATTTTATATACTTCCATACATATTGACACAAAAATACAAGATACAGATCAACACAACCAAATCCTACTCCAATACCCAATTCTCCAAACAAATGACCAGGTAATTAGAAAAAAGCAGTAAATAAATAAAAAAACCAGATGAAAGCCCACAAACCTCTCAAGACAAACTAAGAGTCAGCAACAGGCTTGAACTCCTGCACTTCCTTGAAGTTGGCCCAGGGCTTCACCCAGACCTTGGCTTCAAAGAGCTTCTTCTTCCCCGCGTCGCTGACCTCAATCGTCAGATAGTGCAGAGTGCCCGAAACCACCTGCACCTTCTCATTCACCACCCTCACAAACTCAAGCAGAGCATTCTGCACAATTAGTTATTCAATCAATCAATTAACCAAAAACCCACCCACAATCTTTGTTTCACACAAATAGAAAAAGGGCTTTTTGTTTACCTCCTTCTTGTTGTATTCTTCGACGGCGAAACGAGCCAGGCTTTCGGTTTCGACGCTGTTCTCGGAACCTTGAGATTCGCGTACTGTGCCAACTGCTGCCATTTTTGGGTGAGAATTGGTTTTTGCGAGCTGAGGCTTTTGGATTTGAGGTAGAGAGTTTGTATGGCTATTAATACACACAGGAGGAAGGAAGATGAAAATTTCGATTTCAATTCTGTTGACTCTTCGAACAATGCTGTGTGCACGGAAACTCCGCCTATTTCGCCCATTGGATTTGGGACACGTGTGCGATTCTTTCTGTAAAATTGTTTTTTTTTTTTTTTTTTTTTTTTTTTTTCTTTAATTTTATATTTATATTTTTTTTTTTTTTTTTTTCCCTTTTTTTTTTTTTTTTAATTTATAAATAAACCCCAATCATAGACATGTATTTATAAAAAAACCTAAGCACTATTTAAACATAGAAACACACCCAAAATCAACAATTGTATATTTTTTGGGTGTATTTATAAATGGGTTTTGAGTGTGTGTAATGATGGGTTTTGGGTGTTGGGTTTTTTTATAATTTCAGCCCTCATTTTGGGTGTTTTAGTGAAACTCCCTTTTTTTTCGATCGAAAATACGAAATAGCTTAGTCCGTAAAGTTTTGGGAAGACTTTTTTGTTGTAGCAAAATTGCAAGAATAGCGCAGCATATAGTTTAGGTGGGATTTCGATAACGTACCCCTAGTTTTATTTAAAATACTTGCCTTCTTTCGTGGAAATAAGAACTCCTACTTTCCTGTTGTGTGACATGTGTGTCAATATTTTTTCTTTTTTTGGGTACTTTTTATAAATTATTTATACATAATATTTGTAAATCTGTGACTTAGAGGAGATAGGAATGCCCCCTTCCTTGGGCAAGGAGGAAAGCAGTTTCCTAGTCCAATTTGTCAATTCAACAGGAGACTTATGTCATGAAAAGCACCACTACGCTCTTTCTACCCAACAAAAGCCCTAGAACCCCAAATTTGATCCCATCAGCACACAGACAGCCATGGCTTGTCACAGAGATGAAGATGACTACGAACCAGACCAAGCTCTAGATGGGGATGAAGAAGAGGAACATGAGGAGGAGCAGGGAGGACAAAGATCCAAACAGAAGCGGAGGAGATCGGATTTCATAGACGACGATGAGGCTTATGATGGTGGTGTGAGTCGTAAGCGGAGGAATAAGAGGCCTATTGGGTCAAAGTTTCTTGATATCGAGGCTGAGGTCGATAACGATAAGGAGGAGGAAGAGGAAGATGAGGGCGAGGACGACTTCATTGTTGATACTGGAACTGATCTCCCGAAGAAGAACATGGTGGTAGAAGGATGCATCGTCATCGTCCATTGCAGCCGCAAGAAGATGAGCAAGAAGAAGATGTTGAAGCGCTTGAGAGAAGAATTCAAGCGCGGTATGCAAGGTCATCATTGAGTCATGCAGAATACGACGAGGAGGAGACAACTGATCTGGTGGTGAATCAGCAAGCTCTTTTACCTTGTGTTAGGGACCCGAAGTTGTGGATGGTAAAATGCGCGATCGGTCGTGAGCGAGAAGCAGTTGTTTGCTTAATGCAAAAGTATATTGATAAACCTAAACTGAACATCAAGTCTGTTGTTGCCCTAGACCACCTCAAAAACTTTATATACATTGAAGCCGACAACGAAGCCCATGTGAGGGAGGCTTGCAAAGGTCTGCGCAATATACTTGCCCTACATAAGTTAAACCGTGTTCCGATCGGAGAAATGACTGACGTTCTTTCAGTTGAAAGCAAGGCAATTGATGTTTCTAGGGGTACATGGGTCAGAATGAAGATGGGGACCTATAAAGGAGACCTTGCCAAGGTTGTGGGTGTCGATGATGTGCGGCAGAGAGTCAGGGTAAAGTTAATTCCAAGGATTGATTTACAAGCTATTGCGAATAAACTGGAGGCAGACAAGTTGTGAAAAAGAAGGCATTTGTTCCTCCTCCACGCTTTATGAATATTGATGAGTAAGACAACTGCATATTCATGTAGAGCGTAGACGAGATCCGGTGACTGGTGATTACTGTGGGAGCAAATATTTTCGTCTCCAATCACAGCGCGCCACGTGGAAAAGAAGATTATCTCTTTTAATTAATTAATTGAACCAGTTTATCTGGCCAATTAATTAATTGGGATAAATATCTTAATTAACATGATATTATCTTTATTTAATAAGATAATATCATTAATTAAGGTATTATCCTAATAAAGAGAAGATAATGTCATTATCTCATATATTATCTTCATAAAAAGAGATAATATCGTTTAATTTAGATATTATCTCCATAAAAAGAGATAATATCATTAAATCAGATATTATCTCAGTCCGACTCGATCCCTACGAATTTGGGTAGAGAATAAACTCAGCATATTCTCTACGAAACCCTAGCCCCGAGGCTCCTATAAATAGATGACTTCATTCATCATTCAAGGTACATCTAAACCTACTCCTTATACCCGAGAAAAATACCCGAAGCTCTCTCTCTCCCTCTCCACTCTCCATATTTTCTCCACACGGCTCCGGCCACCACACACGGCTCCGGCCGCCCGGTTCACACCCTACATAAACACTACTCCGTACCCTTTGCTTAGCTATTGTTTTCCTACAAACACTCGAACTAACTTAGGCATCGGAGGGCCTTTGGCCAACACCCCCCGGGTGTGGTCTATTTACTCCAATCTGTTTTACAGGAATCGAGGAAGAGAGAGAAGGAAGATCGAAGGTTGAAGGATCTAGAAGCGAATATTCTCCCGTGAGATTATTTGCACAAACATTTGGTGCTTTCATTGAGAGCACGAGTTATACTCAACGCGTGCTCAAGGAATCCGTTCCTCATATTTTCCAATCCACCGAAGCCTTCCAAACAACCATGGTTGGAAGCAAGCGCACGAGGAGTAAAACCGCCGCGATGGCTCAATCCGTGACGGCCCAAAGCCACTCCACCCACGATCCCGCGATCAACATGGTGGCACCACCACCTCTCGCCACCGTGCCACCTACCGGACCCGCGACCGAATCTAGCAACCTCCGTGGCACCGCCGCCGAACATGGTGGAACCTCCCATCAAGGTGGGCTCGTTACCACCACCGACTTAGGCCCGGTCTTGGAGCAACTTCAAGCGTTCCCTCCATTGCCTCCACGCTCGACACACGCTCTCGCGTACACCTCCAGTGAAACCCTAGCCCGTGTGCAATTGGGCTCCACACGCTTCTCTCCTCCCGATCCACAAAGTCAAGCAGATCTCAACCTGAGAGTTGACCAGCTAGCTCAGAGAGTGGACGACCAAAACGCTCTTATGAGGCAGCTCCTTAATCAAATAAGCGTGGCTCAAAATCTTGGCCTTGGACAACCAGGCGAAGTGAGAAGAATAGACGAAACGCACCGGTGGGCAGCTCAACGGGCACCAAGCGGTCGAGCAGGAGCGAGCAGACAAGGGGATGCACAACCACGTGATCAGCTTGCCGACATGTCGCGAGCATCTGCAAGCCACACACAAAGCAACGTGCGAGAAAGGCTCGGCCCACGACTTGACGTCCGTGCTCGCCTGGGCCCGCAGGGGAATGTACTTCAAAGGCTAGGCTCCCAGGGAGATCAAACTGACAATCGCCGCAATGAGGATCGTGAAGAGAGGCGCTCCGCTGCCCACTCGCAGAGAAATATTCACGAAAGGCTAGGCCCCAGGGAGGTCAACCCGGTAACCCTCGCAATGAGGATCGTGAAGAGAGGCACTCCATTGCCCGCTCTCGGAGAACCAACTCTCGCCGTCAAGCTGCAGAAAATCCCTCGCAATCGCAGTCCACCAACACGCCTCCTAGGCAGCGCGGACGAGAGGACCGACCCTTGCAGACCAACGAGGAGGTCAATCAGCGTCGCTCGAATCGCAAAAGGCGCCAACGTGATCGACCAGCACTGCGCGTGGAAGACGTTGAGAAGCTTGTGAATGACCGACTTCGAGACTTGAAGACTAGCGGGAACCTCGAGGATGCACTACGTAAGGAGATGGACCAGGCGATCTCTACTCCTTTCACCCCTGAAATCGAGCAGGCTGCTCCCCCGAAGCGATTCTCAACGCCTTCTTTTACGCATTTCAAGGGAGATTCCGATCCCGAGAGCCACCTAAAACACTTCAAAAGTGTCATGATCCTCCACAAGGCCGACGACGCACTGATGTGCAAGGCATTTGCAATGACATTGCGAGGAGCAGCTCAGGACTGGTTCCACACCCTGCCATCTGGGTCGATCAACAGTTTCAAGGAGCTTGCCTATGTCTTCACTAAAGAATACACTTCTTATCGGACGATCAAGAAGAACCCAGATCATCTGTTCAACCTGCGCAAGAAGCCCGACGAATCCATTCGAGATTACATCAAGAGGTTCAAAGCAGAAAAGGCCAACATCGTAGGGTGCGACGACCAAATCGCATCATCTGCCTTCAAGAAAGGTCTTCCAGCAGAACACGAGTTATACCGCGAGCTGACTATCACTCCCAGCCAGACTTTAGCAGAGGTCTTCGCGACCGCAGAACGCTACGCGCTCTGGGATGACGATCGAATTGCCGCGAAGAAGTCCACTGAGCAGGGAGATCGCAGACCAAGCGGGCGGGCCAAGAAGCGATGGATTTAGCAACAAGAACAAGGACAAGCGCAGGTCACACCCACAAGAGGACGCTAAGGCAGGAGAGAACTACACCAAGTTCACTATCCCTATACATCAAATCCTAGCCCAAGTGAAAAACAAACCTTGGGTAAGAAGACCGCCACCCTTGAAAGGAGATCCAGACAGGAGGGATACTAGCAAATACTGTGCCTTCCATGGGACGCATGGACACACTACGAACAACTGCTTCGCTTGGAAAGCACACCTCGAAGAACTCGTGAGGAAGGTCACTGCACAGAATTCATCGCTAAGCAGGCCATCCAACAGATAGAGGACCGCGACACCGCCAAGGAGCCGCCCCAAAAGGTCATAAGGATTAACACAATCCTAGCCGACTCCGAGGAATCTGGGTTGACCAGCAAGGAAAAAAAAAGGAAGATCAAACAAGCCACTATGATCTCCCAAGTCTCAACCGACCTTCCGCTAGCAGAAGACGACCCTATAATCGGCTTCCAAAAGAAAGATCTAATTGGCCTTGATCTACCACACAATGACGCTCTTGTCATCAGCATTCAAATCGCTCAGGCCATGGTCGGCCGAATCCATGCAGACGAGGGCAGTGCGGCCAACATCCTACAATTGACAGTTATCCAACAGATGGGCTTAGAGGCAAAGATCAATAAATCAGCCAAGTCGCTGACTGGTTTCAATGGAGCAACAACGGTTACCGTAGGCACGATAGAGCTCGACGTCTACGCCCCACCTGTAATCAGCTCTCAAACGTTCATGGTCATTGATGAAGTCTCACCCTACAATGGCATTCTAGGCAGACCATGGATCAGCAAGATCAATGCCATCACCTCCGCCACGCATCAGAAGATTCGCTACCCAATTCCTTTGGGGTGGGATCGGCCAAATCAACAGCGATCAGGCGATGGCGAGGAAATGCTCAGCTCAAGGGCTGAAGAAAGGCAAGCAAACACAGTTCCTCCCTGTGAATCAAGCAGATCTAAAGGGAGTAGAACAAGCAGATGAGGAAGCAGATCCCGTTCCTGACGGCCGAGCAGGCCAAAAAGGAAAGGGAATAACTACTCCCCAATAGCAATCAAAGAATCAGGACCAAGTCGAGGGAATCCGTCCGGAGGTCTATCCTGAAGAAGGATGGAAGCCCGAGGAGGACGTTGAGCTAGTACCCCTTGATCCTGACAAGCCAGAGAGAACAGCGCGGATCGGCTCGCGCCTAAGCCAGGAGGAAAAGGCAGAGCTTGTAGCCTTCCTCCAGAACAACAAAGACGTATTTGCATGGTCACCCATCTGACATGCCTGGCATCGATCCCCAGATCATCTGCCATCGCCTACACGTCAACCCAGCCATCAAGCCTGTAGCGCAGAAGAGACGCAACTTCGCCCCCGAGCGAGTCGCCATCATTGAAGCCGAGATCGACAAGCTTCTAGTTGCCGGTTTCATTGAAGAAGTCTCATACGCAGAATGGCTGGCGAACGTTGTTCTAGTAGCAAAGAAAGATAAAGGCCTGTGGAGAGTGTGCGTCGACTATACTGACCTCAACAAGGCATGTCCTAAAGATAACTTTCCACTGCCGAGAATTGACCAGCTCGTCGATTCAACTTCCGGCAATCAACTGCTAAGCTTCATGGACGCCTACTCCGGTTACAACCAGATCATGATGCATGAAGACGACAAGGCAAAGACCTCTTTCATCATCGAAAGAGGTACCTACTGCTACAAGGTCATGCCCTTTGGGCTGAAGAACGCCGGAGCAACCTACCAAAGGCTGGTGAATAAAATTTTCAAGGAGCAAATTGGCAAGACTATGGAGGTCTACGTAGACGACATGCTAGTCAAAGCTCCCGAGCGAGCAGACCACATCGAGAATCTTGCCGAGGCATTCAGCATACTCCGAAAATACAACATGAAGTTGAACCCGAGCAAATGCACATTTGGAGTCTCGTCCGGCCGATTCCTTGGATACTTAGTCACCCAAAGAGGAATTGAGGCACATCCAAATCAAATCAAGGCTATACTCAACATGAAGTCACCTGCCACAACAAAGGAGATACAAAGTCTAACGGGTAGGGCGGCAGCTCTCAACCGATTCCTCTCTAGATCTACCGACAAATGCAGGCCATTTTTCAAAGCCTTGAAGAAGGGACACAAGGATAAGTGGGATGACGAGTGTGAAGTAGCTTTTCAAAACTTGAAAACTTACCTCACTTCACCTCCATTGCTCTCAAAGCCGATACCAGGCGAAGACTTGTACATCTACCTAGCGGTGTCCGACTCAGCTGTCAGCTCAGCTCTCATCCGAGAAGAGCTGGGGGCACAACATCCGGTATTCTACACTTCAAAAGCTCTCCTCGATGCAGAGACTCGCTATCCGAAAATGGAGAAGCTCATTTTTTCGCTTGTGGTTTCTGCGAGAAAGTTAAGGCCATACTATCAAGCACACCGGATAATTGTCATAACAGAATTTCCTTTGAGATCGATCCTTCACAGCCCCGACGCTTCTCAGCGACTCATGAAATGGGCTATCGAACTCAGTCAATACGACCTCCTCTACCGGCCGAAGACTGCTATAAAAGCCCAAGCTTTAGCAGATTTTGTTGTAGAGTTTACTCCGACAGCCGAAGAAGAGAAGATGGTTACGAAAAGCAAGGAAAAAGCGGACGACACCTCCCCCCACCGATTCGAACCTACCTAACGACATGTGGCAGTTGCATGTAGACGGAGCATCAAATCACAAAGGAGCGGGAGCAGGAGTCGTCATAATCACCCCAGACGGAACCTTGTTGGAACAAGCTATCACACTAGGCTTTTCTGCTTCAAACAACGAGGCAGAATATGAGGCACTGCTTGCAGGACTACGCCTAGCGAAAGAACTGTCGATCAAGAGACTGGCCATCTACTCAGACTCCCAACTGATCACGAATCAAGCCTCAGGCGAGTACATGGCAAAGCATCCAAGAATGGTCCAGTACCTCGACAAAGTCCAAGGACTTTTGAAAGAATTCCCTACTTTCACCATCCAACAAATTCCACGGGCAGAGAACACTCATGCAGATGCGTTGGCGAGCCTAGGATCAGCACTGGACACCCAATTCAGACGCTCCATCCCAGTTGAACACCTTGACCGGCCAAGCATCGAAGAAATAGAGCCGATCGACTCAATGCAGATTGATGAGGACCCCAGCTGGCAAGACCCCATCATCGACTACTTGGTGAATGGAAACCTGCCAACGGATAAGTCCGAAGCTAGGAAGGTCCAGCAGAAGGCCGCGAGATACTATATGCACGGCAGCAAGCTCATCCGTAGATCATACTCCAGCCCTCATCTCACCTGCATAAAGTACCCTCAAACACTTGAAGTCCTCTGCAAAATTCACTCGCCCAGAAAACTCTGAACGTAGGCTATTTCTGGCCTACCATGCGCCACGACTCTGCTGAATATGTCAAAAGATGTGATCGTTGCCAACGATACAAGCCGATCCCTAATCTGCCTGCCGAAGTTTACCATCCGCAAAACAGTCCATTCATGCAATGGGCCATCGACTTAGTGGGTCCCTTGCCACCGGCGCCTGCCAAGAAAGAAATGATGATCGTCGCCACCGACTACTTTACTAAATGGATCGAGGCCGAAGCTCTATCCTCTACTAAAGAAGCCGATGTGGAGTGATTCATCTGGAGAAATATCATCTGCCCACAAAACACAACAGTTGTCCATAAGCAGCGTCCTTCGGGAGACGCAGGGCAACGACCAGAAGTGTCCTTTGGGAGACGCAGCCCATAAAAAGCGTCCTAAGGGAGACGCAGGGTGCGCCAGGAATTTCCTAAGGGAGGTATCCAGGTTCCTATCCGTTCCCTAAGGGGGGCAGGATAGTCATATAGTTGCCCATAAGGAGCGTCCTAAGGGAGACGCAGGGCGACGACTAAAAGCGTCCGTTTGGAGACGCAGCCCACTAAAAAAGCGTCCTAAGGGAGACGCAGGGTGCGCCAGGAATTTCTTAAAAGGAGGTCTCCATGCCTCCTGCGGGAAGTATCCAGGTTCCTATCCGTTTCCTAAGGGAGGCAGGATAGTCATACAGTTGCCCATAAAGAGCGTCCTAAGGGAGACGCAGGGCGACGACTAAAAGCGTCCGTTTGGAGACGCAGCCCACTAAAAAAGCGTCCTAAGGGAGACGCAGGGTGCGCCAGGAATTTCTTAAAAGAGGTCTCCATGCCTCTTGCGGGAAGTATCCAGGTTCCTATCCGTTTCCTAAGGGAGGCAGGATAGTCACACAGTTGCCCATAAGCAGCGTCCTTCGGGAAACGCAGGGCGACGACCAAGCCAACCTAAGAGATATGCAGAACACGTCCGAAGTCCTTCAAGAGGAACCCTGACACTCATGAATCTCCAAAAGGAGATGTGCAATCAAGACACTAGCCGGTTACTCAAGCAGTTCACAAGACAATATGCAAATTGAAGTTGAAAAATAAAGACTGAAATTTTCATAGCAAAGCGACCAACCGGCCAAGTTCAAACAAAAGAAGATGGTCAAACAAGACCAATTATTCTAAACAAAAGCAGACTACAAAAGCTGAAAAGAAATAAAGGAGTCTTCGTCTACTCCGAAGCGCCAGCAGGAGATCCCTGATCTACAACCTCTTCAGCGTCCGCCTGAACAGCCACGCTTTCAGCAGCTCCACATGCCTGATCTATGACGTCTGCCACCACCTCATCGGCTGCATCCTCCTCTGCTCCATCCTCCTCAGCTACCGCCTCTTTAGTCACCTGCTCTTCAGCTCCTTCGATGTTCACAGCATTAGCCTTCTCACTTTGCGCAGGGGGCAAGTCTGGATAGAGCATCTCGATGTCTTCATCTCCAATGGCGTAGAAGGGATCATATCCTCTTGTGCAGTCCAGGTAGCCCAACTTGTACGCGTCCATGGCAACTTCGGACTTGGATTCCTCAGCAGACTCATGGTAGGCGTGAAGTCTAGCTAAAAGCTTGTCATAGCTATGAGAGATGTCGGCATTCTTGCACTCAATGTGGAAATAAGCATCTTTTCGACTTGCCAAGTCAGCAGCAGAAGAGTTAAGCTCGGAATCCTTCTCAGCAAGGGAGCTCTTCAACTCAGATATCATCGCCCGCAAATCAGACGTCTTCTTCTCATAACGGGTCTGCTCGGCGGAAAGTTTGCTAACTAACTCGGCATTCTTCTTCTCCAACTCGCTGAGCTGAACAGAAGATGGGGCAACAACAGACGAGTTCCGAATGGTCTCAGCAGCAAAAACTATTCCCTTTTTAAGCAGATGAAGTGTCGCTTCCTTTTGCTTTTCCAAGGAAAGACTTGAAAAAGTACCAAGATCGCCAGCCTGACGGATTTGGTCAACCAGCTCAGCACAAGAGGATGGACTTGATAGAAATTGCGTCTTTAGCAGATCAGACACGCCTGCATCCCCTGCAGGGCTAGATTTGTCCACCTTTGGATCAGTCGCTGACGTTACAGAAGAACCTTTTGTCCAGGCAGATGACTCTCTTGCTTTCCTAGCCTCCGCCAACCTCACTTCCAAAGGAATTTGCGACGTCGAATCAACTCCATGCTTGACTGCTCATGACTCAACAGTTGAAACATGATGGTTGGATGGATGAGCAGACTGCCCAGATCGACTTCCAATCTTTCGACTGGTACAAACGACTCGAATTTCGAAAAGGAGCATCCGCATCTCTTTGCCTCTCAACAAGTGAGCTAGATCGTGCACGGACTACTTTACTGAGCATATCACGATCTCCAAACTCATCAGGCTTGAGCTCTCGAAGACTTGACATCAGCCTTCCTTTTTTAGGGGAGTTTAGCAAAACACTCCTCATGTCCAGCAGGCAGATCATCAAGGCTCGGACCATCCTGCTTCCATCTATCGACATCCTTAGCAGGGGGCAGTCCACCAACTTCCTCCTAATCGTTGCTCAGCAGCCGCCAGCAGCCACCGCCGCTCCAATCGTCTTTGGCTGCCAGTAACGATGACAACCAACCTGGTCCCACCCAACTGGTCCTCGCCTTGAAAAAGAGAAGACGAAGGAAAATTTACGTGCTCGACTTACTTTGGGATGCACGGCAACTCCTCTCTTCGACAAGCAGTACAAAATTCTCCAAGATCTTTCTCAAGCTAGAAAGTAGAGAAGTTAAGTTTGCGATGTAAGAAAGAGTGAAGAGAAGCCCTGTATTTATACAAGTTGGACAACCCGGGTCAAGAAGGAATCTCAAGCTCTTTCCTACTGGGAATCCAACTCCAACAACAGTCAGAAGCCTACACCAATTGAGAATCCGATCTGCAAAAGGAGTCCAACTCACAGAAGAAAGCCCAGACTCAGTTGGAGAGCCCGAAAAAAATAATTTCATCTCCTACATGCCACACAAGCGCCATGCAGAAGCTGGGGGGCATTTGTGGGAGCAAATATTTTCGTCTCCAATCACAGCGCGCCACGTGGAAAAGAAGATTATCTCTTTTAATTAATTAATTGAACCAGTTTATCTGGCCAATTAATTAATTGGGATAAATATCTTAATTAACATGATATTATCTTTATTTAATAAGATAATATCATTAATTAAGATATTATCCTATTAAAGAGAAGATAATGTCATTATCTCATATATTATCTTCATAAAAAGAGATAATATCATTTAATTTAGATATTATCTCCATAAAAAGAGATAATATCATTAAATCAGATATTATCTCAGTCCGACTCGATCCCTACGAATTTGGGTAGAGAATAAACTCAGCATATTCTCTACGAAACCCTAGCCCCGAGGCTCCTATAAATAGATGACTTCATTCATCATTCAAGGTACATCTAAACCTACTCCTTATACCGAGAAAATATCCCGAAGCTCTCTTCTCCCTCTCCACTCTCCATATTTTCTCCACACGGCTCCGGCCACCACACACGGCTCCGGCCGCCCGGTTCACACCCTACATAAACACTACTCCGTACCCTTTGCTTAGCTATTGTTTTTCTACAAACACTCGAACTAACTTAGGCATCGGAGGGCCTTTGGCCAACACCCCCCGGGTGTGGTCTATTTACTCCAATCTGTTTTACAGGAATCGAGGAAGAGAGAGAAGGAAGATCGAAGGTTTGAAGGATCTAGAAGCGAATATTCTCTCCAAAAAAAAAAAAAAAAAAAAAAAAAAAAAAAAAAAAAAAAAAAAAAAAAAAAAAAAAAAAAAAAAAAAAAAAAAAAAAAAAAAAAAAAAAAAAAAAAAAAAAAAAAAAAAAAAAAAAAAAAAAAAAAAAAAAAAAAAAAAAAAAAAAAAAAAAAAAAAAAAAAAAAAAAAAAAAAAAAAAAAAAAAAAAAAAAAAAAAAAAAAAAAAAAAAAAAAAAAAAAAAAAAAAAAAAAAAAAAAAAAAAAAAAAAAAAAAAAAAAAAAAAAAAAAAAAAAAAAAAAAAAAAAAAAAAAAAAAAAAAAAAAAAAAAAAAAAAAAAAAAAAAAAAAAAAAAAAAAAAAAAAAAAAAAAAAAAAAAAAAAAAAAAAAAAAAAAAAAAAAAAAAAAAACCCCCGACCCCAAATTTATCCCATGCTTTAATTTAATACAAATTTATAAATAAACCCAATCCTAAACATGTATTTATAAAAAACCCAAGCACTATTTAAATATAGAAACACACCCAAAATCAACCTCAAAATAAACAATTGTATATTTTTTGGGTGTGTTTATAAATGGGTTTTGAGTATGTGTAATGATGGGTTTTGGTTGTGTTTATAAAGTGTTTTGGGTGTTGGGTTTTTTTATAATTTCAGCTCCTATTTTGGGTGTTTTAGTGAAACTCCCTTAATTTAATTAAGTGGAATTGAGAAATTACCCGTGGGATAGGGATATTTTAGTCATTTTCTTATTCGGAAGGACTTTGGGAATTCCGGTTGTACCGTTGCGTAGAGCACGGTGAGATGAGTCCGTAGACACGTAGTGGGCTCGAATCGGAGTTGTAACGAGAGAGATATGATCAAAAGAAGCTCAGTGGCATAATCGTTTTTGGAAAATGGATTTTTGGTTAAAAGACGGAATTGCCCCCGTCTCTCTCTCACTCTCTCTCTCTCCCGCGCGTCCCTCTCTCTCTCCTCTGTTCGCGACGGCTGAAACAGCCGGTCACGTTTTGCCCGGCCGTGCTCTCGTCCGACCACCAAAGTCGACGCGGCCGGTACCAAAATGACCGGGCCGCCGTCCTCTTCCTACCCTGGCCAGGTCCCGCCGCCAGCTGTCGAGATTTCGCCAGAAAATCGAAGAGAAAAGCTCGGTTTCGCCCGAAACTTCGCCGGCTTCGTTCTCCGTCGTCCGGCCACCGATTCCGGCAAGTGAGGTATGGTTTCTCACCTATTTTCCGTGATCTAGCTGATGGTTGGGTAGGATTGCATCGATTTTGAGCGTAGGAGGTCTGATTTACGAATTGGGTTTCGGCCGGATTTCGAGGGGAGATTCCGGCCACTTCCGGTCAGTTTTTGGGGTATGCCCAAGAACAAAAGTGACTCCAAATAGGGTGTTTTACCTAGGGTAGGAGTCTTGAGCCGTGATTTGTGGTTTTTCCGGCGATGCGATATCGCTTTAGACACCCACGCGCTGCTGGCGCGTGTGGCGGCGCGTGGGCACTGTAGCTGAGGGGCATTTCTGTCCCATTGCGATCCTCTCGATGTCACGAGCGCGTAGGTATGCTCAGATCTCATTTTGGATACCGTTAGAGTTCCGAACGGATATCGCATATCGCGTATTTTCCGGGTTCGCTAGGTTTGGACCGTTGGATGGTTCTGAAATTATAATATGTTGATCTAAGTATTACCAGGATCGTGTAGGATTTGACGGATTGTAAAACGGAGTCCCGGATACTCCGGAAATGCCAACCCTAGTGTTAAGTTTATGGAAATTGTCCGGTCGTGCGATCGTGAGCGATCCGACTGTCCGATCTGGACCAAACTTGCAGGACGTGCATCCTAGAGCATGTAGAACCTATAGGAACCTTCGGATCGGAAATTGGAGGTCGTGGGCCCTGCGGCTCGTTTGACCAAGGTTGGGTAGTTTGACCCTGGGTTGACTGTGAGACCCTTGGGATAGTTCTACCTTCCCAGGAGGGTTAGGATGACCTTAGTGACAGGTCTTGAGCATTGTTGACTTAAATGGATATTGTGGGTTTAGGATATAAATTGGTGAATTTAAATGGGGGAGTTTATGGAATGCTTTATTGGTTGATGTTACTATAGGATTAGAAATTATATAGTATACATTTAATTGTATGGTTGTGTAATGGTATATAAAGAGATTGAATGTTAGTTTACAGTGCTATACGCACTACCCCACGTACCCTCCCATATTGTGATTATGTCGAGGCCCTTAAACCCGTGCGGCTGGTGAGAATGTAGCCAGGCCCAAGTGACAATATAATGGCTGGTGAGAATGTAGCCAGGCCCAAGTGACAATGTGATGGCTGGTGAGAATGTAGCCAGGCCAAAGTGAACAGTGTGATGGCTGGTGAGAATGTAGTCAGGCCCAGTGTGAGGTCGCACGCGTCTTTGGATTAGCCGGCGTGTTGACAGACCCCATACGTGGCCGGGTGCGTCCCGACGTATGAGGGGAGATATGATTGTGTGCGGGCTGGTGAGAATGTAGCCAGGCCTAGTGTGAGGTCGCACGCGTCTTTGGATTAGCCTGCGTGTAGACAGACCCCATACGAGGCCGGGTGCGTCCCGTCGTATGAGGGGAGATATGATTGTGTGAGGGATGGTGAGAATGTAGCCAGGCCCAGAGTGAGGTCGCACGCGTCTTTGGATTAGCCGGCGTGTTGACAGACCCCATACGTGGCCGGGTGCGTCCCGACGTATGAGGGGAGATATGATTGTGTGAGGGCTGGTGAGAATGTAGCCAGGCCCAGAGTGAGGTCGCACGCGTCTTTGGATTAGCCGGCGTGTTGACAGACCCCATACGTGGCCGGGTGCGTCCCGACGTATGAGGGGAGATATGATTGTGTGAGGGCTGGTGAGAATGTAGCCAGGCCCAGTGTGAGGTCGCACGCGTCTTTGGATTAGCCGGCGTGTTGACAGACCCCATACGTGGCCGGGTGCGTCCCGACGTACGAGGGGAGATATGATTGTGTGAGGGCTGGTGAGAATGTAGCCAGGCCCAGTGTGAGGTCGCACGCGTCTTTGGATTAGCCGGCGTGTTGACAGACCCCATACGTGGCCGGGTGCGTCCCGACGTATGAGGGGAGATATGATTGTGTGAGGGCTGGTGAGAATGTAGCCAGGCCCAGTGTGAGGTCGCACGCGTCTTTGGATTAGCCGGCGTGTTGACAGGCCCCATACGAGGCCGGGTGTGTCCCGTCGTATGAGGGGAGCTATGTGATTGTGTTTGGTGTGTTGTGATGGATAAACCCTAGAATGTATGAATTTATATGGATGTAATGGTTTATTTGATATTAGGAGCCAGGATTGATAGGAAAGAGCTACGTGTGGCTTGATCCCTTAGTAGGGTACGTAGGCAGCCTGGGATAGCGCCTAGGTGTAGCCACGGCCTAGACACCCCTTAGGTGGTTTTATCGAGTATGATGCGGACCTCGTGGTTGGTCTCGAAACTTGGTTGAATTGAGGCTTGTCCGATGGACTGAGTGAGTGAATGTGTGCATAGATAGATTTTGAATTTGTTATATGCATGTTTGATGCATGGAGTTATTTTAAAAGCAGTGTGAGTAGTTATATTAGAATCATTTGAAGGCCAGAGGCCATATATGTAAACTGCATGAGATTATATTGTGCGTGCTGCTGGTTGGGTTATAAAAATGTGTTTTATGCAGGTGGAAATTTTGGGGAATGTTCAATTTACAGGGGAGACTCTGCCGGAAATTTCGGCAGAAAGTCTCGTGCCCTTAATCCTCTTTGGTAAAAGAGGACATAGTTTTAAGGAGTGAACCCGGCATGGGTGTGATGCCGAGGTCTCCGCAGGATTCGTCTCGGGTTCTGGGAAATTCGGGGCGGGTCCTGTCAATAAATATGCATTTCATGAACCCTCATAGGGTTCCTCCTGGCCGCAAAAAAAAAAAAAAAAAAAAAAAAAAAAAAAAAAAAAAAAAAAAAAAAAAAAAAAAAAAAAAAAAAAAAAAAAAAAAAAAAAAAAAAAAAAAAAAAAAAAAAAAAAAAAAAAAAAAAAAAAAAAAAAAAAAAAAAAAAAAAAAAAAAAAAAAAAAAAAAAAAAAAAAAAAAAAAAAAAAAAAAAAAAAAAAAAAAAAAAAAAAAAAAAAAAAAAAAAAAAAAAAAAAAAAAAAAAAAAAAAAAAAAAAAAAAAAAAAAAAAAAAAAAAAAAAAAAAAAAAAAAAAAAAAAAAAAAAAAAAAAAAAAAAAAAAAAAAAAAAAAAAAAAAAAAAAAAAAAAAAAAAAAAAAAAAAAAAAAAAAAAAAAAAAAAAAAAAAAAAAAAAAAAACGACGTCTTTGTGCTGCAAAAAGACATAAAAAAACAGTCGAGGATGAGAATAGACGACCAACTCCAACAAAAAAAACGTCGTTAAAAAGGAAACAGATGACATATATTAACAGAACATGGCCGCAAGATAAACATACAACGACGAGAACTAAAACTTAACGCCGTTAAATAAATATTTAACGACAAATATAAATACGACGTCTTTACAATAATAATAGACGACGTTATTGACACCTACTACGTCACAACATTTCCCACAACCGTCGTAAAATAAATTTTCCACTTCGATTTTTCTATGAATTATGACGTGGAAATAGATGTCAGGGTCATTACTTACGACGCATGTATTTACAGAGACGACGTTGAATTGATAAATAACGTCGGTTTCAAATAAATGAGAGCCGTATTACAGAATTTATACGTCATATTTTGAAAATAAACGACGTGGAAAAAATGATGGGGTCATTAATTACGACACAGTAATTTATAAGGACGACGTTGTCGTCTATATACAACGTCGGTACCATGAAAAAGACCGTCGTGTTTAATAATTTATACGTCTTCATTTAAAAAATTGACGTCGTCTAATGCATATATCTTAACGTCGACAAGTTTAATGGACTTCAAATACCGTCGTAAAATAAATTTTCCACTTCAATTTTTCTACGAATTATGACGTGGAAATAGATGTCAGGTTCATTAATTACGACGTATGTATTTACTGAGACGACGTTGAAATGAATAAACAACGTCGGTTCCAAATAAATGAGAGCCGTATTACAGAATTTATACGTCATATTTGAAAATAAACGACGTGGAAAAAATGATGGGGTCATTAATTACGACACAGTAATTTATGAGGACGACGTTGTCGTCTATATACAACGTCGGTACCATGAAAAAGACCGTCGTGTTTAATAATTTATACGTCTTCATTAAAAAAATTAACGTCGTCTAATTCATAAATCTTAACGTCGACAAATTTAATGGATTTCAAATACCGTCGTGAATTCATCCTTTTCCACTTCGTTTATGAAAGAACATGCGACGTGGTAAATTCATGACGACGTCGTCTTTTGTAACGTTCAGGTTAAAGTTCTCGTCTTTTAGACTTCGGTGTTATGGGATTGGAGACGTGTTATGTTGAATTACATGGCGGTTCTTTATCAAAACCGTCGTGTTTGTAATCTGGAACCAGTAATTTTTGTACTGATTGTTTTGTGGCCAAAACCTGTATAATGAAAGTGAAGAAATCACATTACAATATATTACAAAATTAATGTCATACACTGCCAATTACATAAAGCATCATTCAACCCATATATCTTCACACCCATCTCGAATATTTTGACTCCCTAACTCAACCACCACTTCATCAAATGTGTCAACATTTGGCATCCCCCTAGTAAATGGCTCACACTCAATTCTCACATCACCTAAGACATCATCACCAATAACATCATTATATTCTCTATTAGGCATTGATAACACTACCGACCAACCACGATGCATCGGGTCGTCAACAAAAAATACTTGTTTGACTTGAGAAGCCAAAACAAATTGGTCATTCCTATGTCCAATTTTACTCAAATCTACAAGGGTAAATCCAAGTTCGTCCACTACAAGACCAGAAGTATTATCAATCCAATCACACCTAAAGACTGGGATTGTAAACTTTTGGTAGTCAAGGTCCCAAATTTCTTGAATGACACCATAGAAACCCATATTTGAGAGAATTGGGTTTTTATCCTTGGCACTAGCAACTTGCATAGTATGTGCAAGTAAATAAACTCCACTATTTTGAGTTGTCCGCACATCATCTTGTGCCTTGATGTTGAATTTAATACCTTTAATGAGATAGCTCCTATATAATGGCACTGCCATGTTTGGACCAGCTGCTAGCCACCTTAAATTTTCTGATACGCCATGATTGTCCTCATTAAGTTCACTTTGAACCTGCAAATTAATCATAACTTAATTCAATCTAACATAGAAAGAAGAAAATTAAAAGTCCAATATGTTATTCAATAACATATACCTTGAAGCGTAGCCATTGAATGAAAGTGCTATTGTGCTTATCCTGCAGCCACTTTGTTCTCTTTCTAAATTTTGGATAAGCGGTCTGGATGTGGATCATATGTTGCCTACATGACACACAAAATTCAAGTATTACGGTCCCAAACATATAAGATAAACATAAGAAATAATTTAAAATGGAAACTTAAAGAATAAAACTCATACGTACTCGATATAAGGTAGGACTTCCTCCGTATTCTCCAAGACATATAGATGTGCTTGGTTCAACAGGTCCCGATCAACTACGCTCACTGTACAACCTGATAATGGCTTTGAAACTCCCATCTTTTGGCTTGAAGGCACTCCAACTGTACTAACATCAGATAAATTCTCGGTACAAAACTCTACAGCTTCTTCAGCTATATACCGCTCAGCAATGCAACCTTCGGGACGAGTACGATTCTGAACATACCCCTTTAGCACTTTCATATATCTTTCAAACGGATACATCCATCTAAAATATACTGGCCCACACAGACGAACTTCTCTGACAAGATGTACTACTAGATGAACCATGATATCAAAGAATGAAGGGGGAAAGTACTTCTCAAGCAAACACAAAGTAACTACTACATCTTCTTCCAACTTATCTAGCTTGGAAACATCAACAGTCTTTGCACATATAGCATTGAAGAAGAAGCACAAACGAGTTATTGCATACCTTGCAGGCTTCTCCAAAACAGAACGAATTGCCACAGGGAGCAATTGTTGCATTAAGGTATGACAATCATGTGATTTAAGGCCAAAAAGTCTTGAATCTTGTAAAGATACAAGATTTTTTATATTTGAAGAATAACCTTCAGGGACCTTCATACCATAGAAAGAATTGCAAACCTCTCTCTTCTCTGCTCTTGACAAATTCCAAGGCCCGGGAGGCAAACGAGTACGTCTTTCTCCATACTCGGGTTGCAAATCAATTTTGACCCCCATGTTCAATAAATCTAATCGAGCAGCAATCCCATCTTTATTTTTTCCAGGGATCTCCAGCAATGTACCAATGATACTATCGCAAACGTTCTTCTCAATGTGCATAACATCTAGGACATGCCTCACAGGAAGGTATTTCCAATACTCGAGATCAAAGAATATTGATTTCTTCTTCCAACAAACTCTGTCACCATCTTCAACCATATGCAGCACTTCTTCTCCGGTTAATGGCTCAGGAGGCGTGCCATATTCAGGTTTCCCATTAAAAGCTGCACGTTGCCTCCTATATGGATGATTGATCGGTAACCATTTTCTATGCCCAATGTAACAAATTTTGTGGCCATTTTTCAACCTGTGACTAGGTGTATCATCGCCGCATATTGGACAAGCTTTATATCCTTTAACAACACAACCAGATAAGTTTCCATAGGCGGGGAAATCATTAATTGTCCACATTAATGCAGCTCTGAGTGTAAAGTATTCTCCATTATGTGCATCATACACTCCTCCAACCCCATCCCACAAAGATTTTAAATCATCAATCAAAGGCTCCAAGTAGACGTCTATATCATTTCCGGGCTGTTTAGGACCGGAAATCAATAAGGTCAACATCATGAACTTTCGTTTCATGCACAGCCATGGAGGGAGATTATAAGTAACTAAGATAACTGGCCAGCAACTATATCTGCTACTTAGAGAACTGTGGGGATTGAATCCATCAGATGAAAGAGCCAATCTCAAGTTTCTCGGCTCATTACCAAACTCGGGCCATTTATCATCAAGAAGTTTCCAAGACGGGGAATCCGCTGGATGAGACATATAACCGTCAATTGATTTTCTAGCAGCATGCCAAGTCAAACTCTTAGCGGTCTCATGTGATCGAAACATCCTTTTAAACCTTGGAATTGGAGGAAAATACCACACCACCTTCGCTGGCACACCCTCTTTCAAGATTGAATCTTTGCCTTCCTTCCACCTTGAGATACCACAATTAGGACAATGAGTTAAATCCTCATACTCCTTCCTATACAAGATGCAATCATTGGGGCATGCGTGCATTTTCTCATAACTCAGCCCCAATGCACACAAAGTCTTTTTTGCCTCATACATAGAGGCCGGTATTGTATTTCCTTCTGGAAGCAAATCGCCTTGAAGTATCAATAATTCTGTAAAACAGACATCACTCATCCCATATTTTGCCTTCAAATTATACAACTTCACTAATGCCGATAAC